ACGATAATAATGTAATGGTGCCCCCGATTGCGCTAACAGTATACGCTGGCGGGGCACCAGTGGAGGATGATAAGATGAACATGAGGTCATAAGGTATGATGTTTGTGTTACTCATACATTCGCATGCCTAATCCTTGTTAATGTAAATAAAATTAAATTAGCCGCCTTATTATGACGATACACATGTCCTTTGTTATATTGTTTATGATTCTCCTTTACTGTATGTTGTAAATCAACTATATTCTATCTATCTATCTAAATATATATAACTCAAAGGTGACTGACATAGTGATCTATCACCGCACAGCCCAAACCACTGGACGGATCGGGCTGAAATGTGGCATGCAGGTAGATGTTAAGACGTAGGCATCCGCTTAGAAAGGATTTTGATTAATTCTACCCCCAAGGGGATAAAATAGGGGATGAAAGTTTGTATGAAACTTTGTCAATTTTAAACCGATCGGTCTGAGACTTTGCATGCATAAAGCTACTATGACGTAGGCATCCCTAAGAAAGGATTTTGATAAATTCCACCCCTTAGAGGATAAATAAACGCGAGCGAAGCCGCGGGCAAACGCTAGTCTATCTATATATTTAAAATTATATTTATTTAAAAGAGCGACACACAAGTTTCGTGCCCTTTTTTCTTGTTGAAGAAAAACTTAACTATTCAAAGGTGCTTATGTTAAGTTTATTTGAATAAAGATTATTTTCCCATTCCTGAGCACTAAGGTGTCATGTATAAAAAAAACAATGGAACTCATGTACAGGTTAATTAAAAAGAAAAAATAGGTCAAAAGGATGTAAAAAAAGGACAAAGGAAGTGGCAGATAGAGTTACCAGATTTTTTTTCAGCCTATAAGTGGCAAATGCTTAAATAGGCAAAAAAATACGGTAATTTAGTTTTTTACCCGGGACAAATAAAAAACAAAATTGTATAGTGACATTTTTTTTTATATATATTTTTGACGACCTCGGTGGTCTAGCGGTCTAGCACACCGCTTTACGACCGATGGTCGCGGGTTCGATTCCTCGCACGGCACAAACATTTGTATTCACGAGTATGATTGTTTGTATCGGTCTGGGTATTTTCTATGTATAATATGTATGTATTTACGAAAAAAAAAATCTATATATTTGTATCAGTTGTCTAGGACCCATAACACAAGCTTTAGCTAGCTTAACTTGGGTCTAGATGGCGCTGTGTGAATTTTCCTGAGATTATTATTATTATTATTTTCTATCAGTTTTAACGTAACATATTTTTATTGGTTTAACATATTTATAAAAATCAATATAATTATAATCGTAATTAAAAACGGTTATCATTTGCTTTCTTTTAAATTAGGGGCACAAACATTGCGTGGTAGAGTATTTTTGTCTAGCGCAGATTGATCGATTTAATAATAAAAAACTAAGCTCCAACCGTACTCAGTTTTCTACAGAGACAGAATCGGGACAGAGTCAGTCCCGTCGGGACATTTGAAACTAAGCCTAAAATACGGGACGTCCCGGGAAATACGCTACGTTTCGGCAACGCTAATAGCAGCTATTATAAATATAAAAAAATGTGTCATGTATTTGTACACAATAATTATACTGCCATATCTCACCCTACAACCGAAACAGCTTACAATGCAAGCTGTTTAGCGGTTGATACAGGCGAGACTAAGTTACTCGCGGATACTTTGTATAACATATACAAAACCTAATATTTCTTACCTACACATCAATATTTTATTATCATTTGTTAATAAAAAAAAGAATAAATATAAAAAAAACAATCATTATAAAACAATAAAAAAAAATGAACACGTAATCTTTACATAGTACAAAACTGAGTCGCTTCCGCTATCTGCCCGCTTATATCTTTAAAATTACGCACTAGATTTTAATGTACTTTTCAGCAATAGATAGAGTGATTCAAGAGGAAGGTATATATGTATAATACACGCATGTTATAATATAGAAAGATTTGTAATGCATCCGTGTGAAGACAGGACGGCTGGCTAGTAATATTAAAAGTAGTGTGAAATGTCACAAATGAACAAAATGGCGGCGGGCAATACGTGTATCGATATTCGATATTGTACAATTCAAAAACAAACACAGTTTATCAAGTTTATTTACGTACTTATACTGAAAATGTCGTGTAACGTACATACCTATCTATTTCAATAACTAACATAACGTTCTAAGTTCAGCTAATCTAATAGGTATAATCGATTGACTCATCCATATCATAATCTCTAAATATTTTTTTTTTATATTCAATAATCGAACTTTTTGTGATCCGTGTGGCGTTCAAACAAAACGTTCGAAATTCGAAATATCGTTTGAACACTTTTTGCGGAAATCTAGCGCTAAGCTAAAAATGAATTAACTGAAATCAACAAACTGTATGAGGGTGTAGTATATGACAAATTTGAAGAGAAAAGTTCGTTAGAATTTTAGAACATAATATTAACACTTTTTTTTTAATAATGATTATGAAATGGTGCATTCTCCACCACTAACGGTATATTCTGGGACTGAGCACCAATTGAGTATAACAGCACAAGGATTAAGTCAGGTCAGTTATCCCATACTAGCAGCAGGTATTAACCCTGGCAATTGATTAATGATGTCATTAGTAATCATTTGTATTACTAGCAATGTGGCCCTCATTTTTAGCAATACAAATACAAATACATTGCAGTCAGAACGACCTCCACGCGGTACCTACAAGCAATCATTGTAAAACAAATTTCTGGTGAATTCGCCTAGATTGATACAATAAATGACCTTCATGTCATAGCAAAATTATTAAAAAATCGTATATATATTTTTAATAGCAGGTTAGGCCAAAAGGATGGGGCACAAAGAAAGCGATAGATATTACTTTAAATAAAAAAAATTTGGACCAAAGTCTTACTTTTTTTTATTTAAATAAAGTGACAAATTGTTTTATTTTGGTACAGAACAGTTCGCTAATGATAGTACGGTAGTAGTAATCGTAGTAGACCAAAATGTAAGTTACTGCGATGTGACGTGAAGCGGAAACAATGACTTTAAAGGCCAATTTACACAAAACGGAATAATAGCATTTATTAACGGAGCAATAGCATGACTGGCTATACACGCGACTTCGTCCGCGTGGAATTTAGCTTTCTTTTTTTTAAATAAAAGTAGCCTAAGTTATTTTTTATAACATCAGCTACCTGCCAAAGAAATATTACAAACAGACAATCCAATTTTATTTATGCGTATAAATTATTATCGCGGTCAGAGAAGTCGCAAGTTTAAGCTGGTTTAGATTTCTGTTATCTTGTTTTATTTATAGTTAACTAGCTGTACACGCGACTTCGTCCGAGTGGAATTAAACTTTTTTTCTAAAATGAAAGAATTTTCTAACATAAAAGTAGCCGAAGTTACTCCCTATTACATTAGCTACCTGTCAATAAATATCCCGTCAAAATCGGTGTAGCCATTTCAGAGATTAGCAGGAACAAACAGACAGACAGACAAAAATTTTTATTTTGGTGTTTGTACCGTATTTATATTCATATGCATGTAGTAAAAAAACAGTTATTTCAATATTACAAACAGACACTCCAATTTTGTTTATATGTATAGAATTATAGATAGATAATAACGACGTATTCTGCTTTGTAGTAAAATAAGATAAACACAAGGAAAAACCAATAAATTCCTACCATAATGTGAATTAATTAAATCTGGAAATGTTAAAGCCGTAGGAAATATTATATTCAATCAACCGATTTCAAAAAGTGGGTTCTAATAAAACGACTGTATTTTTTATTTTGTAGGTGTACTTGAACCAATATTGATTCTTCTTCTAGTCGTCTTATAAACATTTAATAACAATCCCACTCTTAATTATTGAGTTATCTTTAATAATGTGATTGAGGTCGGTTTCTTCGTGGTCTGAACATTGTAATATTATCATTTTGTTATCTCCAACGTTATATTACTATTGTCTATATCATATCTAACAATTCAATTATTAAACAACCAAGGCAAAAATCACAAGTATTCAGTTACGTAAACAAAAAAAAAGTTACTCGGTTAATGTGAATATTTCGTTTGTACTACGCCAATCATTATATTTATGTAAAAAATATTGTATGTACTTACGTACGTATAGATGTGGCAGTTTGTGTCAATGTGTGAGTACAGTAGGGCCGTCAATACCGCCATTTTGTAATCATTCTCGAGTTATATAATTTTTAATAACATGAACAAATTAAATAAATATACATAAAAAAATAACACATGTTATATTATAACAATGAATAGTAAACGATAAATATTCATATTATAATAATTAGTGATAATTTTATTATGTACCTATATTTATAAGTAATTGATTAGAAATATGTTATAAAAAAAATCAGAGACAATAGGATTACACATTTTACTTTTATTGTTGGTTGATTTTATTTCATTTTATCATAATAATTACTTTTTAAAGGTTGTCTGAGCAATCAAACATCCACATCCAATGAAAATATCTACAGACTTTAAATTACTTAAAATCAAATATATTTGTTAAAAATAATATCGTTTTAAAATTATTATAGATATAACCTATGTATGTTTGTTTTTATAACAAATATATTTTATATTATATGGGTTAATATCATATAACGAATAATAAAGTAACAGGGACAAATATATTAATTTAATAATAAAACTGTTTATTAAATATAAAAAACGTTTATTTATATTCAAAATCATCTGCATACCCCGTAAGTAACTGACCGTGAATATATACCGAATACAATATACTAATTATTAATTTTCTCCCAGAAATATTAATGTAATCTAATTTCACAAACAGTGCTACCTTAATTCACAAGATGGCGGACGTATAATATAAAATTTATGTACTAAACAAATAAATCAGCAAGGATTTGACAAAGTAAGTTCAACCCTAGCCCCTCAGCGTGTGAGCGGGTAAGAAAATACAGCTAGCACACAGATACGCCATCGCCGTCTACCGGGATGGCCGTGCTGTCAAGTAATCGCTCCCCTCGCGCGTGTTTTGACTTATTTTTGTCAAGCGATCGCCATATTGTTTTATTGTGTTCTTAATATTTTAATTTGAATCATCATCAAGTCATTAATTTTACGACTACACAGTAATGGCGGAATGAAAAGTGGTTATGTGATTAAAAAATATAATAATAGTGTAATGTTATTTTTTTTTCTCTTGATTTGCTACGTGTGAGTGTCACCGCGCGTGTGTGAATATGGATGTGTATATGATTAGTATTATTAACACAATCATTCGTTTATCTACGCTGTAGATAATTAAATAATTATCTCGATCAATCATTATTGAACGGTTCGTTCCGAAACTTGGCACTATAACCGTTATGCCTTTGTCAATTATTGAACATGAAAAATTTTAATTGAAAAAATAAAATTAAAAAGTAATTCCCTTACGTGCGCGCGAATGTAGTGTAGTTTATGTAGTGTATCTATTTATAGTTTGTTGAAAAATAACTGCCACAGTACATTCAGTGTGTTTAAATTTAGTGCAATGTCTAAGCTGAAAAGTTATAAATAATATTGCATATGTCCATTGTTATTTTGTAATTATGTTACATAGCGTTCTATGGAAAAATATGCCCTCTATTTGTGTTTTTGTGAAGTTAAAGTGACTTGGATGTGCGTCCTTTGTCCTTTGGATTGCCTCTAATCATGGATAAACCGTCATTCAAGGTAAATATGAATATTCTTTTAATAAGGTTTCCTTCCTCCATAATTAGACTGTAAATTTATTAGGTTTTAATTAAAATAGATAATTTTTGTAATTCAATTTGTTCTATTTAATTAGTTACTCTGTGAAACGGTTTGAGTAGATGTAAAAACAGTCGTATCGAATTAAATAGATGTTGAGAATGAGAATGTACTTTTGTTAACGCGTGACGTCATCCATTGTTTCGCTTATGAAGGAAGCTGTTCGATTTTCAAATGAATATTGTTTATTCCATTTTCAAAATTATAATCATTGAAATTAAAAATAAATGTTTATTATTAGAGTAATAGTCTATGAATTCAACCAGTAATTACGTAATCAAATAATGATTTTTAAGTATTAATGATACTAATTCGTTTATCGGTAAATAAGGTCAAGATAAAATTAGACATTCAATTTTAATAAAAGGAGCGTTCAAAAGTAAGGAAATAAATTGTTGGCTTCATTTCAACCCTGCCGCTGTGCGCCATATCAGCGAATACTAGTGTTGTGACGCAGTGCGCAAATTATCGAATATCGATATTTGTATATTATTATTTTTATAATATAAACATTTTTTTTTACTCAAAATCACGAATAAATTAAAAATAAATTTATGTTTAAGTTCCTATTTGAACCATTCATTATTACTTCCTTGACATTAACCTATTATTTTGGGTGGACGGAGTACCTACGTATGTCATTTTAATTAAAACATCGAAAAATTATATTGCTATTTCTTACGGATTTGTGCAATTGTATCTTTGCCTAAAATAATTAAAACGTGTATTTATTACCTTTAAAATTATAATATAAAAATGAATTTATTTATAAAATATTTCTTGCCAATAATTAAATAATAAATAAAAATAAATTCCTTAGACTTTTTACATTTAACCAAGTACTAGATTACTAGCAAAGTTTCGCATTTTAAATCGTTTGTAAAAACTCCCGTTATAAACGAGTATATATTTTAACGTTAAATTGTGACAAGCATCGTGTGACAATGTCACATGAGATTGTGACGATGTCACGTGACACTGTGACAAAGTCACGTGCCATTGTGACATCGCGGGAACACATAGTGTTTAGTATAGACGTAACGATGTGTATATGTATCAAATTGTTTGTTAAGTAAGATAATGCGCATTGCTATGCAAATAAAAATAAGTCTTAAAAACAAAGGTAGTAGGTTCAAAACAAATTGATAACAAAACAACATCACAATTTAATTTCCGTCTCTCTCCAGTGATAGTAAACAGTGTTAACAAACGGGCTATCGTTTGATAAAAGACGATACGAGTAATGAATAAAGAATTTATCTATCTATCTATATATCTAATGCTTATAGAAATATCTAATACAAATAAATTCGGAAGTTTGTCCGTCTGTCTGTTTGTCACTTTTCACGACTAAACGGTCGAAAAGATGTTAAGTATATGTATGCAAGATACTTTGTAATAAAAAGACGGACATAAACTATTTTTTATATAAAAAAAAAAAAACAGACAAAGCCGCATGTAAAAGGTAGGTCAGTAATATATCTCATACATGGTACAAAACTGGTTTATTTAAAAATCATACCTAATACAAAACTGGTTTATTAAAAAAAATCAAATTACTATAGTAACATGGACTTCCCCAAAAAACGCCTAATTTGATAAAAAAAAACATATTATTGAAATTAGACTTTAAACATAATGTTTTAGAGTGTATTTTGCAACTTTTGTAATTTTTGTTTATGAGTGAATTCAGTATTGCATTGTACTAGTTCATTTACTATCTTTATATTTACATAGTTTAAAATGAAGTCGCTTCGCTCTCTGTACGCTTAGATCTTGTAAACTACGCAACGGATTTTAATGCAGTTTTCAGTAATAGATAGAGTGATTCAAGAGGAAGGTTTATATGTATAATACACGCGTGTTATAGTATGGAACAGGTCGACAAATTCAAAGATTTCAAATGCACCCGTGTGAACTCGGGACGGGTGACTAGTGTTATTATACTCAATTCTCAAAGTATTACAGGTTACGAGTGTCTCCCTATTAGAGTAGGATAGATAGATACATTTCGTCTTGCACTTTAAAATTCTGTTAAAACAACATAGCACCAAGTATGCCAATCGTACTAAGACCCTAGTACAAATACGAGATTTTTGGCTCTTGTTCGAAGATATTTTCAACCTTGTACAAGTTTGTACCAAAGTTTGACCAACTGCATTCTGTCAAAATACTATGGACCAACTACAATTGGTATTATGGATGATAATGGAATGCACCGGACTGCGCTAACGGTTTACGTTGGTACCAATGGAGGGTTATAAGATAAGCATGAGGTCAGGTCAGTTAGCCCATCGTGACAAATTCACTAAGAATTTATCACGATGGTTTCCAGGGGAACCGCGTGGAGGTCAACCTGACATGGTATATTGCTAGCAATGGGGTTATCAATCCACATTACTAACAATTCGTTTCCTCCCCACAATCGGTATTATGGATGATAATGGAATGGTGCACCGACCTGCGCTAGCTGGTTTACGTTGGCACCAATGAATGGTTATAGGATCACGAGGTTAGGTGAGTTAGCCCATCGTGGTAAATTCAGCATGAAATTATACCGATGGTTTCCAGAGGGAACCGCGTGGAGGTCAACCTGGCATACATTGCTAGCAATGTAGCTATTAAACCTCATTACTAACAACCCCCCTTTGCCCCAACGACAATCGGTCAAAAAACTAAGATGTACTTGGTTTGAGAGCCAAATATATATAGAAATAAGGGATTTTGTCTTTTTTCTTACAAGGTTTATGTTTCTAGGTTGTAAACCATTTTTTTTAATCTTGGATAGCGCATACGCTGTCTCACTCAGTCCATTTTATCGATATATTAATATCTGTCGTTGCATTATAATCCCTATTTATAGTAGCTTAGGGGCCATCCATAAATTACGTCACACGATATTAACGATCTCTTTGTCACAGATGGTCACATTTGTGACACTCCACCGTATTGTGACGTCACATGTTTATTAAAAATACAATAATTTTATTAAATATTAGCTGTGCTCGCGGCTTCGTCCGCAAGTAATAGTGACCTTGTATAGCATTTTTTATTATTTTAAGAAATAAGTAAATAAACCTAACCTAACCCAAGAACGCTAAAGAAAAACTTTCATAGTTCTAGCTTCAAAAATACTTAATTTCATACAAACTTTTTTACCTTATTTTATTTTCCTTAAAGGTACAAATTTTACAAACTGAATCTTATACTTATTTATATTTAATCAACAGTCTTAAAAATAAGTTTCAAGCTTCTAGATTTAAAAATGACGTTACTTCCATACCTTTCGTATCCCATATTATTGAGGATTATAGAAATATTTTGAAGCTTTCGTTAATTGTTTAAAATAAATTTTTAAATACTTAGATAGGTCTTTGAAATGTGACGTCACGAAATTTAAGGCACCGTCACACTTTGTCACATAACGTCACACTTTGTCACACATCGTCACACTTTCTCAGCTCGTTAACGTGTGATGTAATTTGTGGACGGCCGCTTATAATCGGAATTAATCCAAGGTGGCGGCGGTGATAAAAAAAATGAATGTCCAACAAGAAATTTCCAGGTAGGTATTTCAATTAGATTATTAATAAATTATATTGTCTGTTATATTGTGAGTTGTACTCAGAAGTGGAATAAAAATGAATCTTAACTTCAAATGTATTGTACAACACAAAACTGAACCGTAATACGAAGGGATAGGGTTGATTTTAGCTCGGCACACGTTCAGATTGTAGTACGCAATTGCAGTATGTATGAAATGAGATATTTATAAGGTGAGGTGTAACGACATAAAAGACCGCAAGCAAACAAAGATATTTTTAACCGACTTGTAAAAAGAAGGTTTTTTTTAATTTAATTTTTTTTTACTATTCGATGGGGACGGATGTAGGTTATATTTTATTTAAAAAAAACTCTAAATCGCGAGTTAGCTATATATAGTATAGAAATAAAAAAAATGTTGTGACTGTAAATTTAAACTAACAACTTTTCAACAAATGCATATATATACATATAAGTACTTACAACAATTTTTTTTTAAACTGTCCACTCGTCTTTTTGTTCTTGATAATGCATATGAAACTATAAACTATTGTTGATGTATTTACATCAAAAAATAATTTTATAATTTTTTGTCTGTCTGTTTGTTGTTGTTAATCTCTAAAACGACTCAATCAAATTTGATGGCACCGTCGCCTATATACATGAACAGTACCAAACTCATCACCTAACTGCCTGTAACTTCATGTTATCCTGGTACTTTTACTGTATCACACTTGTTATTTTATAAGAGGATGGAAGTAACCTGACCTCATGCTTATCCTATCATCATCCACTGGTGCCCCGCCAGTGTATACTGTTATCGCAGGCGGGTGCACCATTACATTATGGAAGACCTTCGGTTCTATGATATATAGAGTATCAACCGGCACCTAAATACATGAACAGTACCCAAAGACGTCGTCTAACCTCCTGTAACCTCATGTTATCCTGGTACTTTTACTGTATCACATTTATTATTTTATAAGAGCATGGAACTGACCTGACATTCTCATCCTATCCTACATTAGTGCTCCGCCAGCGTATAACGTCAGCACAGGCGGGGGCCCCATTCTATTAAAATAGAATAGAATAGAAAATCATTTATTCAAATAAACTTAATTTAAGCACTTTTGAATAGTCAACATATTATTATTTATCATGTATATGTTATACATAAACAGTGCCAAAGATCATCTAACCTCCTGTAACTTCATGTTATCCTGGTACTTTTACTATATCACATTTATTATTTTATAAGAGCATGCAACTGACCTGACTTCTTCTTTTTTTTCTTCTTTTTATTCTCATCCTATCACACTGGTGCCCCGCCAGCGTATACCGTCAACACAGACGGGGGTACCATTCTATTATCATCCATC